TATATATATATATATATATATATATATATATATATATATATATATATATATAGAAAGAGAGAGATTTATATATATATAAAATCATATTTATATAATTTCTTCTAATACTTCTATATAATCTAAATGAAACATTCTATAATAGAAACAGTAAGAAAATAAAACGTGTTGTATATGAGCGAGAAAAAAGAGACAGAGAATGTATTATATCAATAAACACATTCAAAGGTAACACACTATTCATAAACTATAAATTATGATATTTGAAACATATCCGTCATTTGCAGAAGTAAAAGATTTTGTACAGACCAGGTTAACTTCCACTATTCATGCTACGTTATATCAGTTTGCAAATCATATAAGATAGGACATAATCAATTTTCAAAAGTATGAAAAAAATTATGTAACTAAAAATTATTGATGCACATAAATTTAATTTGTAAATTTAGCTTGTATTTAAATTTAGCAATTTGTGTGTTTTAGCGTAAATATTATAAAGACACTGCGGTGCACAAAAATACTTGATCTGTATGTATGCTGAATGCTATTATTATGCTTCATACATATAGTAGTACAGAGCATAGAGCAGCAAATTATTGTCGTTTGATAAAATTAACTTAAATATAATAAGAACACAACTCTGTGGTAATAATGCACGTTAAGAAAGAGAAGCTCTCTAGATACAAATCGTATCTCGGGAATGTTAAAGTGCAGAGGAATAAAAAAAGGGAGAGCTGATGTGACATGATATGATTCCCCTGCGTACCTGGTTGGGCCTCCTCACCTGCGTCAGAGCCTCCATCCTCTGCTTCAATTGCTCTTCCATTTCTGGTAACTTAGCATATTGAGCTAGTTTCTGTTCCGCAAGTTCTAGTTTCTCTTGTATAGCCGCAATTTTTTCCTCTTGGAGCTTTAGTAAATTCAATTAATCATAAGAAAATGATTGTGTTATATAATTATAATAAAAAAAAAGAAAATAAATAAATTAATATGTAATTTACCTTTAATTGAGCTTTCTTATGTTGCAACTCTTGCTCCAGCTTCTCATTGAGGTCGTGAAGACTAGTAGACTCCCGTTGAGCATTGAGATATCGTTTTTCTAGAGTTGCTATTCGCTCCTCTTGGTCCTCTTTTTGTGCCACGTTCTCTCGCAAGTCTCTTTGCAGTTTAAGACCTGCCTCTTGTGCCTTCAGAAGATCTTTTTGCGTTTTGGATAGCGTTTCCTCTAACTCGGCAACGCGTCCACTTAGTTCCGCTACCCGTCGTTGCCATGTACTTAATTCTGAGCTCTAAAATAATATTTATAATATTTTATATCGGCTTATGAAACAATTATCGATTTATACCAGCCACCATTCAAGCTACTTGTGTATTGTAGAAACCGACAAATGTGAACGTATTATGTAACTCTATGCAAAACACTTCATGAACAAATTTTATGATAATTATCTACCTACGTGATACTAAGACTAATTCAAGAAAGTCGTTATTGTGGTATTCATAGATTTCGCTTTTTATTGTTTTATTTTTAATGTATCTACTACAGTAAGGGAACGGCAAAACATCTTAAAGAAAAAATACACAGGCCAACTGCCCCTACAAAACACCTTGTTTTTGGCTGTAGAAAAAAATCCTGACGTGTAGGGGCAAAACTGAAGTTATATTCGGTTTCAGCAGGCGAAAATACATGGGAATACCATGGTTTAGTTCATGGCGCAGACAACTTTTCTTTTTTTGTAGGCCTGTAATATCGATTTAGGTACAATCCATTGTTAATCACCAATCATGCGATCACAAATAAATGTTAACGTGAATGTTATTATTCATTCCATAACATGACATATAGGAACCACTGAAAATATTATATACTATGTACAAAAAGATAATACGTATTATGCTTTATAACATTAATGATTAATTTATACAAACGGCGATGCGAGTCAAGCGCGGAACATGGTGCGTAATAAAAATTAAAACGTGTATTTACGAGTAAAGAACGTTTCGGCTCTTCCTTTGAGCCATTTTCAGCTTTATTAGCACACACAGGAAATTATTTCTGCAGGGCTCGAGGTAGCAAACTCCCTTCCTGGAGAGATGATGTCGTGATAAACGAGCTGGTACACACGATTATGGTGGACATTACCACTAAGAAACGGAAAAAGCATTATGTGTATTCAATCCTTAAAGGAAACAAAAGAAGAAAGGAGAGAGCTTCCCTCAAGTTCTGCAGCAGTCAAAAATACAATATATGCAATATGCATTAATTAAAAAGTCGTAGAACGACGGTGTGGATACGGAGAGTCGCACATCTCGGAACAGAAACGAGAATATCGCAGTCACACACGTGTCGGTAGAAAACGAAGTGAGAAGCGGGTCATAAGTATGCCGGTCAGAAACGTAATTATAAACAAAATAACCAGCCGAATAGGGGAAACCAAAGGTTAAGCATTATTTATGACAGATAGATCTGTCGCCCTGCAGAATAATTTCCTGTGTGTGCTAATAAAGCTGAAGATGGCTCAAAAGAAGAGCCGAAACGTTCTTTACTCGTAAATACACGTTTTAATTTTTATTGCGCACCATGTTCCGCGCTTGACTCGCATCGCCGTTTGTATAGATGACATTTTCACGAGTTTAGATATATTATTGATTATACGCAGGCTGGAAAATGCGTTCTTTCACCTATAATTATTTCTCTTTTATTACTTATGTATTTGGGCCCTATGCAACTTCTCTACTTAAGGATTGGATTAAATTCAATAAGTGTTTTATTAAGAGTACGCACATAAGGGAATTTTTAAGATTTTGTCTAGCGCATAACATTATTCCCGCACACCTAAAAAGTATTAAAAATGTAAATTTATCTTTTCACAATCCCAGAATCGCCGCTAAATTTAATTTTAATATTAAGTCCGCGGTTCAGAAAATACTACGCTTAGAATTAAATATTAAATGATACCTGCCGACAGATTGACTATTTCCGTACACAAATTTTCCGGACAGTGCGCAGTATTTCCCAATGTTTACCGTTCCGTGTTTATAATTCCTTTTTCCGAAGACAAAACATTTCTTTACACTCTTTCGATATTTCCAAGCTTAACTCTATCAAGAAAAAAATGTCATGGTTACTCGATAAACAGAGGAAAGAAAAAATTAAATTGATTAAACCTGTTCATTATTTTTACGCGGACTCCTTTTCAACTCGCAATCTTTCTCAAATCAACCACACGGTTTCCGACAACTCAGTAATTCTCAATAGATTCAATTTTTCGTCTGATCCTACACTTCTGGGAAAAGCACAATCAGTCGAGATCTTTCTCTCACCGCAACCCTTTTCTAACTCCACAGCACAATCCTCTCTGAACTCCATAAGAAACAATTAGTTTGTTAATCTTTCTTCTGCCCAATTTCCTTCTGACATTATACATCTTTTACAGTTGGGCGACAATTTCTCACTCCCTTATCACAATAAACAAAAAATTTTATTTGAGTTCATTAAAAGCATAGAAAATAATATTAAGCGTCTTCCTCTTCCTACACAAACATTCATTAGAAACCGCTCGATTCCCATCATTAACGAGATTAATTCAGACTCTCGTTTTTCTCCCTCTCTCTCGGACAAAATCATTTGTAAAATGTTATCACAAACCAAAGCTTTTCTCCATAATAATCCTGATATTATCCTTACCAGAGCCGACAAAGGGAACATAACCGTAGCCATGAACTCTCTTGATTACATAAATAAGATGGAGTTGCTTTTATCAGACACGAACACTTACTCCAGAGTAAAAAAAGATCCTATCTTTTCCCTCACAAGAAGTGTTAGAACATTGCTCACTAGATGGAAGAATTTGAAATTCATTACACCCGCTACTTATAAGTTCTTCTATGATAGTGATAGAGTACTTCCGAGAGCCTATGGACTTCCGAAAATCCACAAACAAAACTACCCGTTAAGAATCATAGTTTCGTCCATTGACGGTCCGTTACACAATTTAGCCAGATTCTTACACAACATAATTTCTTCGAGTATTCCTAAAGCCAATAGTCACATTAAAGACAGCTTTCAACTGGTTAATAACCTGAACGGTTCAAGCATAGATGACAATTACACTCTTGTCTCCCTTGACGTAGTTTCGCTTTTTACAAACGTTCCCACTGATCTGGCTATTGACAGTATTTGCAATAGATGGGAACATCTTTCAAAAAACTGCGACCTTCCTAAAGACGAATTCGTTCTTGCTGTACAACTCATTCTTGACTCTACTTTTTTTAGATTCAATAACAATATATATAAACAGAATTTCGGATCTCCCATGGGTTCTCCTTTGTCTCCCGACCTTGCGGTTCTAGTTTTACAAGATATTGAGATGAGGACGATTGGAATTCTCAATTTCTCTCTACCGTTTTTCTACAGATACGTGGACGACATTACGATGGCCATACCCTACGATATGGTCGATTTTACCTTGCAAACATTTAACTCGTTCCATCCACGCTTACAATTTACTATAGAGGTGGGTAATAAAAAACTAAATATTTTAGATACCACCATTATCAACAACAATGGGCTTATCGAATTTGATTGGTATCATAAGCCCACTTTTTCGGGCCGTTATTTAAACTACAATTCTTGTCATCCCTCAAAAGCGTGGTACCATCATGGGACTCATCGACCGAGCTTTTTTATTGTCTCACCCGAAGTTTCACGAGAAAAATTTAGGACTTATCGTTAGCATCCTTCTGAACAATGATTACCCTTTAGATCTTATATTTAACACTTTTCACGAACGTCTTAAAAGTCTCTTTTTTAAACAAACCAAAAAACAAAATCCGAATGATACTAACAACGACGCTGCTTTTAAAAAATGGTTTACCGTTCCGTTTTTTCCTTCAATTTCTATCAAATTCAAAGATATTTTCAGGGATTCAGATACTCACTTATCATACTACAGTGTTAATAAATTAAATAAATTTATCAAAGTTCAGAAGGATGCTCTTCCGACTTTTGCAACGAGTAATGTCGTCTACAAGATTTTTTGCCGGAATTGCGACGCATCATACGTGGGTCAAACTGGTAGACAACTAAAAACCAGAATATCTGAACATCGCAACCACATCAATAGAAATGGTTCCTCCCACTCCGTGATCACTGATCATAGAATTCAGAATGACCACGATTTTGATTGGGATATTAGATCATGAAAGATTCTACCACAAGCGACTTATTTCTGAAGTTCTATACATAAGACAACAGCGCCATAGTTTGAATTTACAATCGGATACCGACTGCTTACACCACGCATACCTGTCTGTCATAAATAATGCTTAACCTTTGGTTTCCCCTATTCTGCTGGTTATTTTGTTTATAATTACGTTTCCGACCGGCATACTTGTGACCCGCTTCTCACTTCGTTTTCTACCGACACGTGTGTGACTGCGATATTCTCGTTTCTGTTCCGAGATGTGCGACTCTCCGTATCCACACCGTTTTTCTACGACTTTTTAATTAATGCATATTGTATATATTGTATTTTTGACTGCTGCAGAACTTGAGGGGAGCTCTCTCTTTTCTTCTTTTGTTTCCTTTAACGATTGAATACACATAATGCCTTTTCCGTTTCTTAGTGGTAATGTCCACCATAATCGTGTGTACCAGCTCGTTTATCACGACATCTCTCCAGGAAGGGAGTTTGCTACCTCGAGCCCTGCAGAAATAATTTCCTGTGTGTGCTAATAAAACTGAAGATGGCTCAAAGGAAGAGCCGAAACGTTCTTTACTCGTAAATATACGTTTTAATTTTTATTGCGCACCATGTTCCGCGCTTGACTCGCATCGCCGTTTGTATAGATGACATTTTCACGAGTCTAGATATATTATTGATTAATGATTAAATAATAAAATTTTAGTTACATTAATTACTGGATTGTCCCATCATTAATGCGGTTTTTTAGAGATATTTTTGAAATAAAACAAAAAATTCGACATTTTTATTTTAATCCAAAATATATTTTCCATTATTATTTACAACTTTTTCCCATCTTAATCTGTTTCAATTTTTTGACAATAAAAGTTCTTTCAGTTTCTTTCACTTTTGAGCTAAAGAAGAAATCATTAGCTTTCTCTTATAATGCATTATTTATGGGATGACCCAATATATGTAAGTTATGTGTATGTAATATAATATATACTTCTATAAATATATATACATATATATATAGGGTGCTACAAAAGTTTTACAATACGCAACATTTATTGGATAGAGCAGGATGAACTTTGTTGTATTCG